TATACATATATATATATATATCAGTGACTACCAACATAGATTATGCAAGCTAATCATTCAATGTCGATATATAGTATATATATATATAATAATTATATATATATATATATATAGATAATATATAGTTAGCGACGGACTACTAGTATCGATTTCTGCTAGTCTTCCCTGGGGCGTTTCATTCTGCGAGGACGAACAAACGGCCGCACGAAGTCGCTGTTTTCCGTCCTCTGTCCTCCGAACCGCTGCCTTCGTCCCCAGCCGCACGTGTTCATGCTCCGCTCTCTCTCGTGCATGTTGCAGGGCGTCGCGGGAGCGCGATGAGAAGCTTGCTGTCTGCCACGACTGGCAGCAGTTCTGCGAGCGGCTCGACAGCAAGTGCATCATCATGGCGCCGTTCTGCGGCGGTGACGACTGCGAGGCGGCCATCAAGTTAGACAGCGCCAGGTGAGAGGGAGGGGTCGTCGCGCGGCGTGTGGGGGATGGGGTGTCGGAGGTCATGGATTGGGGGCTTCGCGTTAGAGGTCACATGTTAGAGGTTGTGTCGTAGTTCGTGTGTTGGTTGTAGCATGTCTGAGGTCGTGTATTGGGGGTCAGGTGTTAGAGGTCATATGTTAGAGATAGTGTCATAGCTTGCACGCTGGTGGTGGCATGTCAAGGGTCGTGTTTCTGAGGTCATGTATTGGGGGTTGCGCATTAGAGGTCACATGTTAGAGATAGTGTCGTATGTCAAAGCGTTTCATTTAGAATGCAAATGATTGCACGCGATATCTTCACGTGTAAAGTTTTAATTCGTTTGCGCCAAGTATCCGGTAGCATCCAGGATTTAAATATTCGAGATGCGGTATGTAGCATTTAACGTGATCTTTCTCGTTCTACAGAGATCAGGATACTGAGGTGGGCGCTCCGTCGATGGGTGCTAAGAGTCTGTGCATCCCCTTCAAACAGCCGGGAGACATAAAGGAGGGCATGAAGTGCATCAATACAAAATGTAGCAAGAAGCCCATCTGCTACTGCCTGTTCGGACGAAGTTACTAGATTTGGGATGCTTCCAATTCTTCTAAGGAAATTTTTACAGAGGACCGATTTGCCTTCGTTCACTGCTAGATATACATTCGTGACTTGTAATCATACTCCTGCAGTCTCTCTCGTGAATTTTTAATGCCTGGCAGGGTTAAACATTTAACACATTACCACATTTAATGGGTAAACTATTTGGTTATATTCTTGTATGTTGAATGATGGTCCAACTATACGGTACAATTTTGACAACTCATGCACAATGTGTATCTTGATGAATAAACTTGTTTTTGGTACTTGATTTTTCATTTCGTATTCTTTCTCTTTCATGCATTTCACTAAGTTTTAAGTTTTATGAATAAATTCTCTACAGCGTAATATTTATTCAACATTAGCCACATTATACATTGTACGTACTTGCAAACCTAGCTAAAATACTACATTTAGCATTTAAGTCTTACTATTCAAAATTGCTATCTTTCATCAAGATAAAGGTTATTAGAGAAAAATTGCGCGCGAGAGAGATACAGAGAGTGAGTGTGTGTGTGTGTGTGCGTGCGTGCGTGCGTGCGTGCGTGCGTGCGTGCGTGCGTGCGTGCGTGCGTGCGTGAAGAGAAATATTGCGAGAGAGAGACAGACAGACAGACAGAGAGAGTGAGAGAGAGAGTGTGTGTGTGTGTGTGTGTGCGTGCGTGCGTGCGTGCGTGCGTGCGTGCGTGCGTGCGTGCATGCGTGAAGAGAAATATTGCGAGAGAGAGAGAGAGAGACAGACACACCGAGAGAGAGACAGGCAGAGAGAGAGAGAGTGTGTGTGCGTGTGTGTGTGTGTATGTGCGTGCGTGCGTGCGTGCGTGCGTGCGTGTGTGAGGGTGAGGGTGTGAGAGAGAAAGAAGGTGAGGGTGAGCGGGAAGGCGAGAGAAGTAACTATAATATTAGAATGAATATGTGCATCCGAGCTTGTGTGTGTACCGTTTGCGCCGTACGTGCGTTTGTCTGCGCGTGTGTACTGCGCATGTGTGTGCACATCTCCGTTTCCATTCTTCCCTCCCTCTGCCCCTCTCTCCTTTTTGTCCTCTTTCCTTCATCCTCACCTCTAACTCCCTTCCCCTCAGTATTTCCCTCCCCCTATCGCGGATAGCATCGCCCACGGCATCAGTTGCACGGTGAAAAGTTAGCCAGGCAAATGGCCGGTTTTCAGTCTCAACTTTTTCACTCCCGCAACGTACAAAATGTGATTATACGGCTATAATACGCGTTTTTACAGTTACGCAAACACACATACACACCCAGTAACGGACGCACACACGCGGGTATAGTCGCACGCACGCGTACGCGTGTATTATATGCGCAAATTCACATTTCGTGCCTCGCGGTGTGAAAAAGTTTCGGCTGAAATACGGCTATTTACCTGTAAATTTTTTTCCATGTTTGACTGGTCGTGGGCGATACTATCCGCGAGAGGGGAGTAAGGAATAAGCCATGATTTGATTTTACCGGCCATAGTCATAAAAATGGACGTTGCGCACAAAATACGCCGATCGATGGCGCTACAATAGAAAGTGACATGGTGGCGTTTGTTTTGGTATTTGCTACAGAAAGACAAAATAACAACTTTTTTTGCACATGAACAGCTGCGGAAAGATACATTGACTTCTCCCGTGGATGATGATGCTCGACGCAAGTACTTTTGACGTATATGAATGTATGTGAGGTTCTAAACAAAACATCCGCTGCGGCCACGCGGCCCACTTAAAAAGTTAAACCGTTCCGAAGTTCGAACCGGAACGTAGACCATAAATAAATGGTGGTGATATAGATGTAATGTATGTGGCTATCGTATACCCAACATCACCTCTCGCCTAACAACAACACTGCTACCACTGTACCATTACTGGCAGTGCTGCTGACAGTGCTGTGTTAAATCCCCGTCACACCAGGCCCCGATCTCACTACGCTCTAGCTCTAGTACTATAGGCTATAGCCTGAGTACATTGACTGCCGCAGGTCATTCATTGCCTGCGGCAGTCAATGTACGCGGGCTATAGTACTAGAGCTAACTACGCTCGTACTGCGCTCTAAGAGTGTGGTGGAAACGCGTAGAACGCAGTATGAACGTCTATGGACGTACTGCGATCACGATCGAGCGCAGTGCCAAATTTTGAGCATGTTCAAAACAATCGTGGTGCGAGCGTGGCGGAAAGACAGCGCAGTGCGGGCGCATTAGAGACGTGGAAGGCGTAGTAGCCACGTAACTCGATCGTATCGCAAGTGTGTCGGGAGCGTGAAAATTGTCTCCCCGTTCTCAGCACGATATCAATACATTTTCATCACGTTGTTACTACGTCCGAGGGTGATTAAGTCGCACTAGGAGTAGGAGCGTGACTGGCGTGCAGGTGTGGCGCGGTGAGCGTTGCTTAGGCGCAGTGAATGCGTCGTTTGAATGCAATGCGATCGGATTGGTCGCAATAAAGACGCAGTGGGCGCAGTGCAAGCGTGATGCGGGCGTGGTGTTGAGCGTGGTGAAAGCTTGTTGGGCGCAATGAGATCGGGGTAAAGACGCACTTAGATCGTAGTATCGGCGCTGGGGCCCAATTGGCCACGCTCTCACCACGCTCGGCCAAATTTTTTGAGCGTGGGGCGATCGTGATGAGCGTAGCTCTAGTGTGACGGGGGCTTTAGTGTGGGTAGCCGGGAGTGTGGGTAGCCGGGTTATGGTTATCACATTTCTATAGTGTGACAATTTTATTAGTAGAAGTTAGAACAGATTAAATGTGCCTGTGGTCCAGGCCAGTACGTCTGTGGTAGAGCCGATACGAAGGGAGAACCATCTTTTTGTGCATTTTGACCCGAATAAGACTTTGTTTAAAATTGTGGTATGTCAGCGGATGGTTGCTACTGATTATAATTTGATTAGTATATCATGTCGTTTGACTGTAACAGAAGAATCCAACAAGGTTGAATGCCTATCACTTAATGCTAATCATCTCCTGGCATGCAACCCTGACTACTACACACACACCAAGCATGAAAAGATGAATTTAAATCCCGGAAACTTAAAATATAGCATCCACTGATGACACCCATTGTGATAATATGTACGTTTTCCTTTTTTCAGACTGGAAACACTTCTCATGATCTCGGGTGGCATCAGTGTTAACCCTTATCAGGAGTCCATGAACAATATTCTCCAGCTGTCATCATATAGAGGCAAACCTGATGAATGGGTGGACACATCACCTCACACAAAGATAATGAAGTATCATCAAGAAAGCAAGCAAGACCAGAACTTTCCTCCAGTGCAAATAAGTAGCCAGCCCCCTGCATTTGGAGATGCTACCGTACATTCGTTTGACCAACAGGGCCAACAACAACAGCATCACAATGGTCCAGTGATAAACTGCACAGGTCATCACCTAAACATACTTTCGGAGACAGCGTGTCACAGCCATCCCTCCCTTCCTCCCTTTAGGAATCAAGTTCAGAGGGTGGGTCAGGATCGGTTTACGTTCGCATGTGCCAGGGGGGTGAGACAACACCTTGGCTGGTCAGAGCATGGGAAATCACACCTCCCCCCTCCCACGACCATGGGAGTTAGGGTTGGGGTGTCCGGCTCGCAGGTTTACCCTGGCACAATCGCATAAGTTGAATGATGTCAACGCTAGGGCGAGCGCGATACATAGGGCATGCGTAGTGCGTAACTGTACTCCCCGCAATAACAATATTCATGTCTTGGCTACAAGGGCTCACTGCTGTTGTGCCCTTGAGCAAGGTACTTTATCCCGGTTTGCTTGGAGAGGGCAGAGACTTTCATAAGTCACTAGTGAGGAGATACGCTTCCTCTGCTGCCCTAGCTACAGGTTGCCCTTAGGCAAGGCATAGCACCTGTTCAGCCTCCCATACCAGGGTTACGGTTAATAGATATCCATACTATAGTGGATACATACGAGTGATTGAACACAGTGTTGAATATAACATAACTGGAGGGAAGGATGACCATAGCCAAAGGTGTGTTACTAAACTTGATAATCTACAACCAAGAAGGCAAGCAACTTCAGTCTTTTTCCTGCAAGGTTTCCTATAGAGAAGAAGAAGAAGAAGAAGAAGAAGAAGAAGAAGAAGAAGAAGAAGAAGAAGAAGAGAAGAAGGGAGGGAGGAGGAGGGGGAGGAATATTCAGTGATAGGTAGTTAACTTTTTTTAATCCTGCCCTGGTTGTATGATTGTAAGTTGTTGGGAGGTTTTAAATGTGTAGTAATTCTAAGTTCTGAACATGTACATTGACATTATATTTCTTTCATACTTCAGTTAAATAGGTTTTCCAAAGTTGATCGGTTATCCATATATTATACTAGGATAAGTAAATAAATAAGGCTATATATGTATATATATAATATATATATATATATATATATAATACAGTCTGCTCTAGGTGGCATAATTGATTGAAGAGGAAGGAAAAGAAGAAGAACAACAACAACAAGAACAGCAAGAACAACAACAATACGACGACTGGAGCAATGACGACGAAGAAGAAAAAGAAAATGGATCTCAAGCAACAGGTAAGTTTTTTTTATCTTGGTTGATAGATTGCAAGCTCTTGGAAGGTTTAATCATATATTCGTGTAGTGATGAGTAAGGTATTACTCAGTTTGCTGCAGTTTGCATGATTCTGTTCATCACACCATGGAGCGAAAAGGTCACATTGAAACCAGTAGAGGGTGATGATTACAGCATTGTCGTTGCCATTATTACAGGACAAGAACTACATCTCGCTGCCACTGAGAAGATGCCTCTTACTGCCACACCCGATGATGAGCGCGTGACGGCTGTTTTGCACCCAATCTCGTCGGAGGACATTTACACAGACGTGTGGTTTTCACCAAGCAGACGAGGTTGTGAGTGCGTGCCATCATCGATACCAAAATTCTTGTTGAAACGATGCACTATTTCAATGTGAAACTGCCTCACTGAAATCTCTATGTTCTTCAATGCAGAGTAATGTTTTTCATTGAGTAAATTTTAATACCTCAGTACAGCATTGGTCGAAATAGTTGATGATGATTAGATTTCTGTGGTGACAGAGGTAGAAAATGTGTTACTCGTGGCAGAGGTAGTGGCAGTGGCAGCTAGTAGATGTTTTTATATCACGGTTTTGTTTATTTGTGATAACAATAACAATAAGCCAATTTCGAATTTCGACTGGTTCTGCTATAGACATTTCCATTCTTAAAAGTAATATGATTTTCCACATCGAGTACCTCGCGTACTATTGTTTTTATCAAAAATGATGTTAGTTGCAAAAAATGGCAGAGATTAATTTATTACAAGGTGATATCTTCCATGTCATCTATAAGCAGCATGCCCATTAGCCAAATTATCCTACAATGCATTGTGCTCTCCAAAATTCGAAATTGGCTTATTTGGTTTATTCACATGAAAAGGAATCAATTTACTAACTTCCAAAGTGTTTTTCGTATTCTAAATTGTCTTAGGAACTTGCTATTGAACTTCCCATTTAATTTACTAGCATATAAATCAATATAATAATGCAAACCCCAGTTCATACAGTTTAAATTCTGCCCCCATGATTCATAAGTCCATGTAAATTTTTAAAGTTAAAATTTGCAGCAAACCTCGCCACTAGATGGCAGGATTTGACCATTAGAAAGTAAATTGATTCCTTTTTCATGTGACTGCATTTTGTATTGCATTTGTAAATGTATGTAAATGCAAAGTAATTTGATAGGAGATAGCTTTTCAGATGAACGATCGTGCGCGTGTTCGTGAGCGTGATCGTGAGAGTAAAAGTGGGGCAGCGAAGGGGGAGGGGGAGGGGGTGGAGTGGGCAAAGGGGAGGGGG